AACCAATCAAAACGTCTGATTTTACTGAAAAGTTGTATAAACAATCATAAAGCACTCAGTCACGCATCAATGGTCTCGCAGTTGCTAAGTGAGCGCCACGACGATTGACGTGGAATGAATTGAAAAGAATACTTAAAAACTTGTTTTAACTCAAGCTGTCTTTCCGCCGTGTTGATGTTATGTCACAGGGCACCCAGGCTCAGCACTTGTATGTGCAGTTTGCGTTGTGCGCGGTTCGTGCCCTAGATGAAGCCGTACGTTTTTCCCTTCATTTTCTAAGACTTTTCAAGACTTTTTCTTTTTTTCTTTTTTCTTCAATACGTATAAACATTTTTATGAATAAAGACTTATTTTTAAAGACATTTTTATATTTCTCCCATTTACGTGGGGGATGCAATACAAGTGCTGTGCCTGGGCACCCTGTGGTTATGCTTCTCGCAATTGAAGTTCCATTTTTTGTCTTTTGATGATTATCTAGACATTAAAAAAAAAAGATTTTCAACACGAGAAGATAAAATCCGTTTATAGGTCAACCATGTCATATCCAAACAGCTGATGATGAAGGGCATCATATCCATTGTTGGGAGCCCATCAAAAGCTGACAAAAGGCCTAACACTCCATGCGGAAACTTGATGCAATTGTTTCGGTTCTGGGTGATTTGAGAAAATGCGACTAGCCAATCAGCGCAAAGCTGACAAGCTTATGTTGTAAACATAACCCHCCGACRGRAGGAATTTGCACAACAAAACTCGACCCAGTGGAGTAGGCTGCCTGCCATTTTATTCTATCCTAAAAATCAAAGCTAAAACGCAAAGACAAATTGAAAATCTTTATAAAATAGCTTTTATTAAATGTCAATCAAACACTTATCGTTATAGAAATAGAATTTTATTTTAAAAATGAAATAGCAAAGAATTTTTTCTTTAATACCAAGGGACTCCCCTCCCTGCTAAAAATAATTAGTCTGTGTTCTACGCGGGTTCTCCATTGCATGCGAAGCAATGGCCGACTTCACGAAGACTTCAGAAGGTCGTTGAAGCGACGTTCAAGTCCAAAGTATCTTATGGAGGAACCATTGCAAATCCTTTTTCTTAGCTCTTGTTTCCTCAAAGCTTTGAGGTATCTACAACATCACTGAAAGAGCTAGAGCAGCTTAGCTCCATGTATTCCAATAGAGTTAAAGCGTTTGTTATGTTTCATACAAACAACTGTCGTAGTTCATCCTTTGTCGCATTTTTGGCAATAACCCGCAAGCATGCTCGACGACACAACGAGTTGACGTTATGTAACAGGTCGGTTACACATTTACTAGCTTTGACCTTACAACGAGAGCTAGAACGGTGACTGCGGTTTTTCGTGTAATGTCTTGATAGCGACTGTTTATGTCGAAACGACTCAAAACAAAATTCCATCGTGGAAAAAGTTCGACTAAATTCCCATCTGAAAAACACGTGTGTATTTAAGGTGGAAAATGTTTCATATGAGCATTCAATTCTTAAAGGTT